AACTCATGCAGTCATTTAAGAAACACTTTCTGAGCACCTAATGTGTGCCAGGCATTTTTGGGGGCACCAGAAATTCAGCTGGGAACAAAACAGACTAAAATGCCAGGCTTGGAAGAGCTCATGGTCTAGTGGAAGAGACAGATAATAATCAAATAACTATACATACTAGGACCCTCCTGCTAGGATCAATGCTAGGAAGGGATATCCATTGTGCTGCATGCTTGAGAGAGGTCAAGGACGTCCCTGAGAAAGTGACTTTTCAGCTGAGCTCAGAAGGATGAGTAGGCATAAGCCAGGTGGTGATGACGAGGGAGGGGAGGGGAAATGTTCCGGGGAGAGGGAACAGCTCGAGTAAGACCTGGAGGCAGGAGGGAGTTGTGCACTTTGAGAACTGCCGAGCACATGAGCTCCATAGGAGCAGCACTTCGTTTTGTTCATAGTGGTGTCCCAGCTGCCTGGCACAGTACCCGGCACATGGTAGGCACTCAATACATAATAGTTGGTTGAATGTATGAGTGAACACATGAATGCATAAGTGGAGGAACGTACGACTCTATGATGTATTGATGGGTGGGTGCATGACTGGATGGATGCTGGAAGGATTGATGAAGGAATGGACGGATAGATGGATGGATGAGTGAATGGTTGGATGGATAGAAAAATGGATAGAATGGTGGATGGATAGATGGATGTTGCAGGAACAGATGAAGAAATGGATAGATGAATAAGTGGATGGTTGAGTGAATACATGAGTGATTGGATGGATAGATGAAGAGTTAGATAGAGGATGGACAGATGGATGCTGCAGAAATAGATGAAGGAATGGATGAGTAAGTGGTTGAATGGACAGAAGATGGATGGATTGGTGGATGGATGGATGGATGATGGAGAAATAGATGAAGGAATGGATGGATGAGTGGATGATAGTATGGATGGATGGATGCTGTAGAAATAGATCAAGGGATGAATGAGTGGAGGTTGGGTGGATGGATGGATGATGGAATGGATGATTGGCTGGGTAGGTGAAGAAGTAGATGGAGGATGGATGGATGGATTTTGGAGAAGTAGATGAAGAGAGGGATGAGTAGAGGGTTAGGTAGATGGATGGATGATTGGATGGATTGGGGGATGTTGGAGAAATAGATGAAGGGATGGATGGATGGATGACTGAATGAATGAGTTTTCACAAATACCTACAGATTTACACACAAATGTGCCTGAAGATAGATGCAGACACATTAAGAGGCATGTACACATGTGTGTAAACAGAGACTCACTTGTTCTCCTGGTGCTCCCCCGGAGAGAACAAACCCTGAGAACAGGGAGGTGGGAAGCAAACCCTTTGACCAGGGCTACAGCCATCTCTGCTGCCACTGCCATGCTGACAGTATTTCTGAAATTGGAGGAAAACGCTGATTCAGGGATGTGTGCCTTAGACTGGAAGCCAGGCCAGGAAGTGGGACAGGGATGGTCCAGAGATATGGACTGAGTGACAGAGGAAAGCTGGTTGGGGTAAGGCAGAGAGACAAGCAAGGAGATAGAGAGGTGGAGACACAGAGAAGCAGACAGATGGGGAAACAGGCAGAGTGATGGAGGCAGAGAAACAGAGACGGGGAAATAGAGTGATGGAGACAGAGACAGACATACAGAGAGAAAGACAGGGAGAGAAAGATGGAGACATGAAGACACACAGAAATCTATAAGATGCAGACAGTGAGATACAGGAATACAGAAACGTGTGATACAGGAATTCAAATTTAGACACACAGTGTAATCCCAGCACTTTGGGGGACTGAGGTGGGCAGATAGCTTGAAGTCAAGAGTTCAAGGCCAACCTGGACAACATGGTAAAATTTCAGCTTTACCCAAAAAATACAAAAATTAGCCAGGCATGGTGGTGCATGCCTGTAGTCCCGCCTACTTGGAAGTCTGAGGCGGGAGAATCGCTTGAGCTTAGGAGGTTGAGGTTGCAGTGAGCTGTGATTGCACCACTGCACACCAGCCTGAGCAACAGAGCAAGACCTTGTCTCAAAATAAATAAATAGAACAACCCAAATTTCCAAAAAAATCCAATTAAGCCACACAGAGAGATGAGGTAGGGTTCCAGACGCAGGTAGAGAGAAGGGAAGAAAGACAAAGTCACAGAAAGCAATGGAGGCCTGGAGAGATGGAGATATAGTCTCAAACCCCAGAGGGAAGAAGAGAGACACAGAGGAGCAGAGAGAGATGCAGAGGAGGAGAGACAAAGACAGCCAAAGCAAGACGCACAGTCAGAGGACTGGAAAGGAAACCACCTCCTTTTGGGTGCCTCCTTGGTGCCTGGCTCGAATTTGGGGGTGTTGCTGTACCTTGCCTCATGTAAGCACCAACAGCCCTTGAAGGTAACATTAAGGAAGGCAAGAGATGAGGAAGACGAGGCTCAGAGAGGGAAAGACATTTGCCTGACATTGCTCAGCCTGGGAGCAGCATCTGATGCTGGTCTGTTTGATGTCAGAACCCATGTCCTCTTCTTCACCTTATGTTGGCTTGTGAAGACCAGGAGAGACAGGGCAGATGGCGTTACAGGGCTACTGAGTGTGAGTGACAGAAATAGAGGGAAATGATCATGTATTCATTCAACTCATGTGTTCTGAACTTCCCAGAAGCCTGGCCCTGTGTGGGGTGATGCTGGAGAGCCAGAGATGAGTCAGGAAACAAATTTCTGAGCAAGACAGATGGGGTAGGGGGCAGTGTTCAGAGGTCTGGATAATAACAGGCAGAGGGAGGAGGATGAGTCAGAGAGGGCTTCCTGGAAGAGGAGCATTTGAGCTTCTTATTAAAAGATGAGGGCATTTTGGGGCATGGGGAAAGAAGGAGGTTGGAAGAGCATTCCAGGCAGAAGACACAGCATATGAAAAGAGTGGAGACAGAAATAAGGTAGGATGTGTGGGAGGGATTATTTATATAAAATAATTAATAAAGGGTAGCTAGAGAATGTTTGAGGGGGTGAGGTGGGAGAGAGAGGCAGGGCTAGATCACGCAGCTCTTTCAGCCCAGGTGAGGGGCTGAAGGGTTGTCCAAGGCACTGGGGAGCCCTGGGAAGACTGTGGGGAGGGAAGGGGCGGGTCAGTGCTGGGCACAGAAAGACCCCTCTGGAGCCTCGCCTGTGAGGAGAGAAATGAGGGCTAGAGAATGGAGGATGGGATGGCGAGGAGGCTGGGCCAGGCGTGGTGGCTCACACCTGTAATCCCAGCACTTTCGCAGGCTAAGGTGGGAGGATCACCCGAGCCCTGGAGTTTGAGACCAGCTTGGGAAACACATGGAGACCCATCTTTAAAAAAAAATAATTAGCTGGGCGTGGTGGTGTGGTCCTGTGGTCCCAGTTACTCTGGAGACTGAGGCAGAAGGATTGCTTGAGCCTGGGAGGTCAAGGCTGTTCTCATACCGCTGCACTCCAGCCTGGGGAACACAGTGAGACCCTGTCTCAAAAACGAGCAAACCGAAAAGGAGGCTGGGGCAAGGGTCCCATAGGAGCGAATGAGGCCTCAGCGGCTGCGGGAGCTATGGGAGCAGAGAGGAGAGGACGGAGCAGAGAGAGGTAAGAGGCAAAAGGAATGAAACTTGGAGACTGATAGGCTGGGAGGGTCAGGTGTGCCTGTGGTCAAGGCAATCAAAAATGTCCTCCATCCCTCTGCGATAACATTGCCAACCGGAAATGGAAGACAGCTCGATGGGAGAGAAAGAGATGTGAAGATGCCAGGAGGGGGTCAGGGCCCCCAGAACTGAGCAGAACTACTTAAATCTGGACTGTTTAATTGCCACGGACAGAAACTCAAATCAAATTGTCTTAATCATAAAAGGAACTTTATGGGGTGGAAGAGGGCTTCAGGCACGGCTGGATCCAGGTTTTCCAATTATCTCCAGGAATCAGACTGTCTGTATCGTTGGGCTCTGCTTCCCTCGGGTTGTCTTTGCTCTCTGGCAAGTTATCTCCCTGCATGGTGATGTGGCAGCCCCAGGAGTGCCAACCTTGGCTCTGACCAGCCCCAAAACCACAGTGGAAAGATCTTTTCTAACAGCTCCAGCAAAGGTCCAAAGGCTGACTTTGTAGCCTAGATTGATTTTTTAGCTCACCACTGAAGAAATCAAGGTGCCACTACCTAGAATGAATACTTAGTAAGCAGGAGCAATGGACAGTCCAGAGACCATCTGGATGTGGAGAGAGAGGTAGAGAAACAGATACAAGTAATAGAGACAGAGACTGTGAGGACAGACAAAATGAATAGGGGAAGATCCAGCTTTCTCTTCCATAGTTCCGGCTGAGAGCTCTGCAGACCCAGGGAAAGGGATGCTGGACAGGCACCTACATGGCTAGACCCCTTCTCTCTAGCACAAGAGGCTCAGGAGCCCCCAGACCCAGGACCCCAGGCCCCCATCCTCTCTTCCCTTAAACCCAGGAGTCCAGATCCCAGGCTCCCCCCCCATCAGATCCAAGTGTCCGGAACTCCGGCCCCTTCTCCCTCAGACCCAGGAGCTCAGACCCCAGGCCCTCCTCCTCTAGACCCAGGAGTCTAGGCCCCCAGTGCTCTCCTCCCTCAGCCCCAGGTGAGCAGGTCCCAGGCCCCCAGGATTTTAGGCCCCCAGTGCCTCCTTCCTCAGACCCAAGAGTCCAGGCCCCCACCCCTCCCCCTCCCTCTGGGGGCACCATGGCAACCAGGCCCTCTGCCCTCCATCCCCTCCCCCCAGAGAACCCAGTTTCCCCTGGAATCTCAACTGTTTCTAACCAGTTCCTGCCTGGGGCAGGGATGAACGAGGGCAAGTGGGAACAGAAAAAGGATGACAGAGGGGAAGGGAGCTCCTGGGGGCAGTGGAGGCAGCTAGGAGAGGAGAGCGATGGGGCAAGGGGACTGGGGAGACGTGGGAGGACAGAGAGAGCCCGATGGGGTTAGGGAGGGGCAGAAAATGACGAAGACAAGGAGGGACAGGGGCCTGGGGAGATGCCGGGGAAGCCGATAGAGGAGATTGAAGAGATGGAGCCCAGGAGAGAAGGAGGAAAGAAGAAGGCAGAGAAATCAAGCGAAAGAGTGGTGGAGACCTGGGGACACAAGGGAGGAGGCAGGGGAGCAGAGAGATGGGGAGAGAACGAGGAAGGGAGGTGGAGAGAGAGGGGTGCAGAAAGGGACTCTAGGAGACAGGGAGAGATAGGAGGGAAAACAGGGAAATGGGCAAGAAGGGACTGGGGCGCACAGGGAGTCCCTGAGGTCAGGGGAACCCAGATTTCCTCGTGGTCTCAGTCTTCTAGTTCCTCTGTAATTCTACCCTGGGGCTTCAAAGAGGAGGTGGAGGAGGCAGCAGTGGGGAGAAGGAGCTGGGGTGGGTGGCCCAGTCAGAGCCTCTCCTGCAGTCTTCCTGAGACGTCCCCCACCCACCTACCCAGGATGCAGCCAGGAGTGCAGCCCGTGTGCTCCACGACCATGGGCAACCCCACCACGCACAGGGAGGCAGGTACTGAGCAGTGTCGTCGGGGAAGGGGTGGACTTCCTCCATCCAGGCAATGCGTGGTAGCCCTGGCTCACAGTGTGGCCTTAAGCGAGTCACTGGCACTCCAAAGTGAAAGCCACCCCTAACATTCACCAGATTCCTAGAGAGCCGCCCCCTTAGACCTCAAACTACATTTCCCATGAGGCTCTGCAGTTCCTTGGCCAATGCCCTGAACTCAGAACTACATTTCCCATGACCCTCTGGGGCCTAAGCAACACCTCTGAGGCCATTCTTCTCCTAGGTACCCTCACTGTCTTGTCTTCCGCCCTGAGCTCAGCATCTTGGCCCAGAGCTGCTCCCCACAGCCAACCCAGTCACTGGTGCCATCCTTCCACCTCCCACAGCTCCCTCCCACAGCCCGTCAGGCCCCATCTTCCTGCCCTCTGACTCTCCCTTCTGTATCCCTTCCTCTCTGTCCCCACGGCCCTGTCCCGGGTCTCATCCTCTTACATGTGGACCCTCTCCTCACCTCCTCCCCGGTCCCCAGTCTCTCTCCTCCTGCCTATCCCTCCATGGCTCCAGAAAGGTCTCTCTGACTTCCAGCAGTGACCCTGGCTGTCCTTTGCTCATAACACATCCTAGCTCCCTGTCACCTCCAGGACAGAGTCCCAAAGCTCCAGCCTGGCTTTTGAGGCTCTGTGTGGTCTGACCCCTGTTGACTACTTCAGACTCCTGGGCCAGCACTTCCTGCTAGCACTCTGTGCTGTAGCACAGCTCATGCATTTACACTTATTCAACATTTATAGAGCAGTATCTCAGTGAGGATGCATTTGACTGCAGGTAATAGAAGATCAAATCAAGGCTGGGCGCGGTGGCTCAGGCCTGTAATCTCAGCACTTTGGAGACCAAGGTGGGCGGATCACCTGAGGTTAGGAGTTTGAAACCAGCCTGGCCAACATGGTGAAACCCCATCTCTACTAAAAATATAAAAATTAGTTAGGCGTGGTGGTGGGCGCCTGTAGTCCCAGCTACTGAGGAGGCTGAGGCAGGAGAATCGCTTGAACTCAGGAGGCAGAGGCTGCAGCGAGCCAAGATTGTGCCATTGTGCTCCAGCCCAGGTGACGGAAGGAAACTCTATCTCAAAAAAACAAAAACAAAACTCACTGCAGCCTTGAACTCCTGGGCTCAAGTGATTCTCCCACCTCAGCCTTCAAGGTAGAACAAGTGTCCTGGTGGCAAAACAGACATTGATTCTCGGCCTTCAGGTCTCTTTTAGTGCTTCTGAAGGCATCTTTCTTTTGGTGCCCCTACCTGCACCATCTGTAGCCTAGGCTGAGGCACCCATGTGACATGTAATGTATATGTAGCCCCAGAAACGTTCAGTGGAGTTGAGTCAACCAGTTAGCTGTTTTGTAGATCAACGTTTGTTCATTTTGATTTTGCTGTTTTCTTTGCAGCATTGTGGAGCCAATAATTTTTTTTTAGTTGATCAGGTTGCAAACTTCAGCATACGCCATTAGAAAGCCCCTGGGCCCCAAGCACTTTGCCTGTAGTGCCTAACAGATGAAACAGCCTGGCTTGTTCTCATGCTGGGAGAGGAAACATGAAACACGTCATCTCACAGATCATTCATAGTCTCCAATGGCAATAAGGGCTCTTGTCTTGGGGCTCAAGAGAATTCTGGGTAGTTCTTGCAGGTGACATGTTCTCTTTTGCTCAAAAGCCTTGGCCCACACTAGACCCTTCACGTGAAACGTCCTTCTCTCTGTCACCTCTTTATTTGGTGAATGCCTTCTTATTCTTTCGGTCTCGCTGTGGACAATACCTCCTCTAGGGAGCCTTCCCTGATTGCCCCCAGACTGGGCTTTCCCTCTACCTTGTAACACTTTCGTTGAAACACACATTACCCTTTACCTAAGAGTTCTGAAAGGGCAGGGGTGTGTCTCATTCATCTCTTAATCCCCAGCATCCTCCAAGGCATAGAGGGGCCCTCTGAGATGCCTGTTAAGAAAAATTTAACCAGCTACTCGGGAGGCTGAGACAGGAAGATCCCGTGAGCCCAGGCGTTCATGACTGCAGTGAGCCATGATTGTACCACGGCACTCCAGCCTGGGCAACAGCAAAGAGGGGGGGAAAAGCTTGAAATTGCTGCATTTACCCAGTTACTCAATAAGTACTTACTTTTGAATTTGCACTTTTGTTAATTCAATTACAAGTATACATGTAAATGAATATATTAAGATCACTGTTAACTAGAAATAGTTATTTCTAATGTCATATTTCATGAGAAACTATTAACATTTTTTCACATGCATCTTTGATGTTGCTAGAGTTACTTTTTGATTCAAAGGCATACAATTTTTAAAAATTAATTTTTTTTGAGACAGGGACTCACTTTGTAACCTAGGCTGGAGTACGGTGGCACCATCGTAGCTCACTGCAGCCTCGAAATCCTGGGCTCAAGTGATCCTCCTGCCTCAGCCTCCCAAAGTGCCAGGATTATAGGTGTGAACAACCATGCCCGGCCAACAGTTATTTTTGAATATCATCTCATACCTAGTACATATTTAAATTTCCCCAATTATCTCAAAATTTTATTTTTTATAGTTGGTTGGTTTAAATTAGGGTCCCAGAAAATGTGCACACATTTCAGGCTTCATTCAGTAAGTACCAAGGACCCACTAGAAGCCTGGCACTTTGCTAGATGCTGGGGGCAAAAAGACAAGCCTCTGCCCTCGAGTTCCTCAGAAGACGTAGGGAAGACAGTGTAATTAGGGAATCATAGAAATAAACGTAAAATTGCAACCACTGTAAGAACAAGCATATTGTGCTATGAGAAATGCCATCAGTGGACACTCAGAGAGACTTGATTAGTCAGATGAGGGGGAAGAGCATTCCACACAGAGTCACAGCATTAGCCAAGATCCTGCAGCAGGAGGGGTCAGAGGGAATCCAAGTCGCAGAAAAACAGCGTTTCTGGAATGCAGCAGGTGAAGAGGATGACGGTACTTGATCAGGCTTAGGACTTCGGCAGGGTCTGATCACGTCTGGTCTTATGGTCACTGGAAGGACTTTAGACTTATTCATCCCAAAGGCAATGAAAAGTCCCAGGCGGGTTTTGAGAAAGGGGCCATAGGGTCAGATCTACATTTCAAAATTGCTGGGGTAACTGGAGAGGGAGAGGGGTTAGGAGACTAGATGACAGTGGAATGAGAGGAAGACGCCTCGGGAGATTGAGAACACACACTCTGGATCCAGATGCTTACATTTTTATCCTTATTCTGTCATTTTGTGCTGTGTGACTTTGGGCAAGTCACTTAACCTCTCTGTTTCATCATGTGTTAACACTACCTCAGAAGGTTGTGAGGATGCAATGGAAAGTATATTATTATTTTTGTTTTCTTTTCCTTTCTTTTTTTTTTTGAGACAGAGTCTCGCTCTGTTGCCCAGACTGGAGTGCAGTGGCATGATCTCGGCTCACTGCAACCTCCACCTCCAGGGTTCAAGCAATTCTCCTGCCTCAGCCTCCTGAGTAGCTCGTATTACAGGCACCTGCCACCACACTCAGCTAATTATTGTATTTTTAGTAGAGACAGGGTTTCACCATGTTGGCCAGGATGGTCTCAATCTCCTGACCTCGTGATCTACCCAACTCAGCCTCCCAAAGTGCTGGGATTACAGGCGTGAGCCACCGTGCCCAGCCAGAAAGTATTTTATTCTATTCTATTTTATTTTGGCAGCAGAGTCTTGCTTTGCCACTAGAGTGCAGTGGTGTGATCCCTGCTCCCTGCAACCTCTGCTTCCTGGGTTCAAATGATTCTCCTGTCTCAGCCTCCAGGGTAGCTGGGACTACAGGTGTGCACTACCACGCCAGCCGAATTTTCTGTATTTTTAGTAGAGACGGGATCTTACCTTATTGGCCAGGCTGGTCTTGAACTCCTGAGCTCAGGCAGTCTGTCCACGTTGGCCTCCCAAAGTGCTGGGATTACAGGCGTGGATCATGTGACCTGGCACAATGAAAAGTATTTTAAAAAGTGTTTGTCATATAAAAGAGATAATAAGCACATGGTATATTGTTAAGTGGACAGACTTGAGGAGGGGACAACTGCATTTGAGGGATGGAGGGAGGCCAATATGGCTGGAAGGAAATAATGAGGTAAGGTGCGTCCAGAAGGGGATCCTGTTAAAATGTAGATTTGAATCTAGTAGGTCTGGGGGTGGCCCCGGAGTTAGTGTCTACCACAGTCAGGACCTCATCCTGAGGGTAAGAGGGCCTCTGATGGCTTGCAGAGCATGGAATGCTGTTTCCGCCCTGGGGAAACAGGTGGGAGGCAGAGGGCCGGGAAGAGAGATGGGACAGGCTAAGCTGTGTTGATGTCCTGAAGTCAAAGACCACCGGCCACATCTGTGGCAGTGGTGTGCTGGACACAGCCTGTGCTGGCTCAAAGGAGGCAAACGTCGCATTTTGAGAGCTGGTTGTTGAAACTGTTGGTAGCATGAAATTGGCCATAGTGTGAGCACTGACGCCATGAGAACTGGCAAATGCGGCACATGTGTGAGGGACAGTGTGCGAGAGCCTTGTGAAAATACACCATCACACCACTGACTACAGCTAACCCAGGCTGAATGTGTTGTATTATTGTAATGAGGGAGACTGCGCACACACACACACACACACACACACACACGGGTTGTCTCAGTAGAAGGGTATTAGCAAGGCTTATTACAAGAGCCCAGATGTGTCAGGTGAGTTTGGGGAGGGTTCGTGTGAGCAGGGCTTTGCTCTGGATGGGAAGTTGACAGAGAGCACAGGCAACCCGTGACTGGGAATCTTCATCTTATCAGCAGCCAGGAGGGGTAGACGGAGCTAATGCCGGCGTTAATGAAAGAGAGCCGGCAGCTCTGACCTGGGTGGGGGGATTTTGGTCATTTTCGTGGTTTGGACAATGTTCATGTTTGTTGTGTTGAGACACGATTCAGGAGTAGTTTTGTTCTTGTCTCAGTCCATTGCAGTCAGAGTGGCCTTGCTTGATGTTGGTGTTACGGGAACTGTCTTATGTTCGGCAGGAGAGCATCAGGGCCTGGCTGTCAGGGTCTGCTTCCCTCTCTTTCCACAGTTGCAACAAAGATACCCCAAAACACAACAGCATAAAGAAGACAGAAGTGTATTTCTTTTCTTTTCTCTTTTCCTCCTTTCCTCTATCTCTCTCTTTTCTTTCTCTCTCTTTTTTTTTTTTTTTTTTGAGACAGAGTCTCACTCTGTCACCCAGGCTGGAGTGTAGTATCTTGATCTTGGCTCACTGCAAACGCCGCCTCCCGGGTTCAAGCAATTCTTCTGCCTCAGCCTCCTGAGTAGCTGGTATTACATACACATACCACCATGCCTGGCTAATTTTTGTATTTTTAGTAGAGATGGGGCTTTACCATATTGGCCAGGCTGGTCTCAAACTCCCGGCCTCGTGATCTGCCTGCCTCAGCCTCCCAAAGTGCTGGGATTACAAGCGTAAGCCACCATGCCCAGTTCTTTCTCTCCTTCTCTTTCTTTCTCTCTCCTTCCTCCCTCCCTCCTCTCTCTCTCTCTCTCTCTCTCTCTCTCTCTCTCTCTCTCTCTCATCACTCAGGCCGAAGTACAGTGGTACAATCATGTCTCACTGCAACCTCTAACTTGTGACTTCAAGCGATCCTCTCACCCTAAACTCCTCAGTAACTGGGCACACACAACATGCCCAGATAACTAAAACATTTGTTTTTTTTTTTTTTTTGTAGAGATAGAGTCTTTCTATATTGCCTGCCTCAGCTGGTCAAGAACCAGAAGTGCTTTTCTCTATTGTGTAATGGAAGGCAGGGTTGGTGGGACATCTTGGCTCTGTGAGAAGATTTAGAGATGAGAGTTCCTCACATACTGTTGCTCCCCATATCTGAACATGGCTGAAGCTAGGTTATTGTAATCTACATTCTAGTCCAAGAGAAAGGGTAAAGAGTCCCAGAAAAGCAGTAATCTTTTAAGCAAATGACTCCAAATTTACACCTCTCACTCCAGCTAACACTTTATTGGTGAGCTCTTGGTCATATGGCCACACCTAGCTGCAAGGGAGTCTGGGACTGTTGTCTTCAGCTGGGAAGCCATATGCTGGGTAAAACTCTAGGATTGTAGGAAAAAGGGAAAATGGAGTACATGGAACAATTAGCACTTAGCCATAAGAGAGAGACCAGTTAGCTGATGGTGGGGTGGTCAAAAAGGGCCCATATTTGAAAACTATTATCAATCAAGTTCCAATCAGGAGACAGATTCTGAGAGTGCTGAAAAAACTGAAAACTAGATTCAAGTGCTGTTATGAAAGCTGCCACAGTGAAGAAGTAAGGCTGGGGTGACTTGAAGAGGAGGCGAAAAGGAGCAATTCCTCCTGCTTCCTCCTGCAGGCTCCCTCTGGCGCCCCCTTGAGGCAGAGCCTAATAGGAACCCAGCTGGTAAAGCAGAACTGTGGTTACTAGTCTCAGCCCAGGCATCACAGAGCCAGTGTCATGGGGTGGAGCTGACAGCCAGTAGCTCAATAACTGGCATAACAGCTATTCTGGGTGTGGCATGGGCAAGCAATTGGTGATGCCTATTTAGGCAAAATCGTGGCTGAGGAGGGCTCAGGGCAGCTGACACTGGGTTCTCTGTCCTCAGGAGCCCTCCTTATGGACCTGGAGACCCCAGAGGAGATGCAGGCTCGGAGCCTGGGCAGGCCCATCAAATCCTCGTGAGTTGTACCTGACCCCCATGACTTCTGTCCTCCGCTCCCCCAAATGTGATGGCAATCACCCCTGACCTCAGAGGTCCCTGCCTGCTTGCTCCCTCCCTAGGAGGCAGTACCTGCGGCGGGTCATTGCAGAGTACGAGGCACTGGACCGAGAGCTGCCGTGCATCCGGAAGTTCTCCACACAACCAGCTGCCCAGCCCCTCTGTCTCTGCATGGAGACCCTGGTGAGTGGCCTGAGGCCCTTATTTTCTGCAGTTTGGGTGGGGTGGTGGGAAAGGCACAGGCTGAGCAGCAGTGTGGCCAGAGTTTAAATGCAGGCTCTGTGGCTGATCAGCAGTGGGCCTGGCACCAGGACAGTCTGCTGTAAACTGGTTGTGAATTTGTCAAAGGGTCAGTCATGAAAGGTACTGCTCATGTCAGAGGGGAGACCAAGGGGCAGAGAAAGGGGAGATGGAGGGGGGCAGGGAAGGAGGACAAGAGGAGTCCTACTAATCCATCTACTATGAAATTCTGTAAAGTTTACAAATACAACAAACACTCAAGAAAAAGCCCATGTGTGTTGGGTGCGGTGGCTCATGCCTGTAAGCCCAACACTTTGGGAGGCCAAGGTGGGTGGATCACCTGAGGTCAGGAGTTTGAGACTAGTCTGGCCAACATGGTGAAAATCTATCTCTACTAAATATACAAACATTAGCCGGGTGTGGTGGCTGGCACCTGTAATCCCAGCTACTGGGAGGCTGAGGCAGGAGAATCACTTGAACGCAGGAGTTGGAGGTTGTAGTGAGCCGAACCAAGATCATGTCACTGCACTCCAGCCTGGGTGACAGAGTGAGACTGTGTCTCAAAAAGAAAAAAAAGAAAGAAAAAAGAAAAAGCCCATGTTTTTGGCAGATTCAGCAAACTAGTCATCCTTGCCTTCAATCAGAAGAGGTATATATTAGGGTCCCAGGCACTCAGTAATTGAATGAGAAGAGTTGATGTCAATGAGTACTTACTGTGTGCCAGGCAAAGGCCTCTAAGGTACTCTCTCAGCTAATCTGTGTGACTCTCCACCCCACATACAGGGATTGCTGTCCTCGTTCTAGGGATCAATCTCCACCCCATCACTCCACTTCGCTGTGGCTTTGAGCAAGAGACCCTCCAGCCTCCCCTCTCAGCCCACTCAAGGAATGCCGCTCTAGAAGTGACATCACTTTTCAGTGAAATCATGGAAATTTTCATTTCATTTTAGCTCATCGGCAATTTTATGTGCTATGAAAACTGTAATCACCCTCGACATGATAATCACGTGCTGCAAATGTGTTTAGTGACCAGTACATGTTTCTGACTGTTAATAGATTGAAAAGACATCAAAACCACCTATGACCCTTATCTTTTGACAACTGAATATTCTTAAAATATAAAAGGTCGGGTATGCAACTTAAATCCCGGCCGAAATCTTCAAGAGCTTCCCGTCGCATCACTGTAGGTTGCTGGGAAGGTTTTTGGTAGACTGCTAAAGTTGGCTAAGTTGGTGAATCACTCAACCAACTGTTCATTGACTTTTGGGCAAATCGGCTTGGTCAGAATTGATTTTTTTGGAGAATGACCTAGAGTGACAGTAGATGCTTTCCCATGTGAGAGAAAAATCTGTTGCCTCCTTTGACAATAGCGACAGTACCCTGGGATCAAGTGCGATCATGATCCCAGGCCCCACAAATGCCACCTGGAACTCTGTGGCAGGTTCTACAGGTGCGGTCTAGGGTGGTTACTTGTGAACTGAAAATGAACCAGGAGGTCACGGGCTGAGGTTCTCTCTCCTACACTCGCAGCCCGAGGAGGATTTTACCCACCTGGAGGTGCTGCAAGCGCTGGAGGCCGAGTTACCGGGGGCCATGGAGAGCGGGCGCGTGAGCAGCATCCGCTTTGAGAACATAAATGTCATCTGTGGGACTGCGGGCCGCCGGAACCGGTGAGCAAACCGCGGGTTCGGGGCCTAGAGCGAGCGGGAGGGGCGGGGTCCAGAGTGAGCGCGGCGAGGGAGCGAGACCCAGAGTGACTAGGTAAGAACGTGGTTGGTGTAAGGGCGCTGAGGGGCGGGGCCAGGGGCCGCTAGATAAGAGCGTGGTTGGTGAAAGGGCGTTGGGGGGGCGGGGCGACAGTGAAGCGGTAGCGTGCGGGGCGAGGCCAGGAGCGACTAGATAAGAGCGTGGTTGGTGTAAAGGAGCTGAGGGGCGGGGCCCGGAGACACTAGAAAAGAGCGTGGTTGGTGTAAGGGCGTTGTGAGGTGGGGCGACAGTGGAGTGAAAGCATGAGGGGGCGGGGCCCGGAGCCACTAGATAAGAGCGAGATTGGTGGAGCGCCCCCAGAGGGGCGGGGCCTAGAGTGAGCGCGTTTGGAGGCAGGGACCGGTGAGATCAGAGAGAAGGCGGGATCTGTAGTGAGTGGGGATCCGACTTTGAGTGACCTAGTAGTGACCCGGATAGGCACACCCGAGGTATGGAGTCTGAGCCTGGAAAGGAAGCTGTGAGGGGACGGAGGGGACTGCGCACATAGTAGGCGTAGGGGCAGGGGTGACAGGGTGGGGACAGGCCTAGGGTGCCTAGGACAGAGCGGAGCCTGCAGCCGCCAGGTGAGGGTCGGACCTTGGAGCGTTCTGAGATGGAGCCTCGACAGAGAGTGATTAGGGTGCAGAACCAGGCTAAGAGAGGGTAAGGAGCCTAGAGCGACCCAGGCGAGAGGGCAGGGCTGGAGGGGAGTTTAGGGACGGAGCGACGGTTTGCTGACCGGAGCTGGTAAACGACTCCAGGGACCAGGCAGGGACTCTTCGACGATGAAAGCCGGGGCTGAGACGATCTGCCAGTTCCTTTTCCGTTCCCACCCGCCTTGCAGGTGGCTCATCGCAGTCACGGACTTCCAGACGCGCTCGCGCCTGCTGCGCTCCGGGCTGAGTCCTCGCGGGGTCGCGCACCAGCTCGTGCGCCACGACGACCTCCTGCTGGGCGACTACCGCCTGCACCTGCGCCGCTCCCTCGTCCGGCGGCGCATGCTCGAGGCCCTGGGGGCGGAGCCGGACGAGGAGGCCTGACGCCTGGGCCGATCCCGCCTGCGCACGCGCACCGCCCGCCGGCAGGCACCACCCACCCCGGGCCCGGGAGGACAGGGGGCGTTGCCTTCCCAGGAAGGAGGCGGGGCCGGCTCGAGGGGGTGGATACTGTGAGTTTAATTATAAAGAATGACCTGGTACAAAAGCCATTTCTCTCTGCAAAATCTTGTTGGGGAGTCGGGGGGGGGGAAGTGATGGAGGTAGGAATGAACCCCCATGTTATAATTCCGCCTCCCTAATCTTCATCCAGTTCCTTTACGTGGACGCCTGGGTCCCAATCCCTTGAGGGATGAACTGAAGCCCGCGAAAGGGAAGACCTGGGCACTGGGGCTTTCAGCGCGTGCGGAGCCCTGTCTCAGCGAGAATCAGACGTCCTCATCCGCCCCCCTCCTCTTGCCCTCCCGCCCCCATTGGAAGACAATTCTCGGGCTTTTATTTCAGGTTTTTTTCTGGATTTTTTTGTGTGTTCTAGGGATTTTTTGGGTTTTTTTTTTCTGTTTTTTGTATTTTCTTTTGTTATTGTTCCGCTTTTTGCTTTGTCTCTCCACTCCACCCCGCGCTGTCCCCGCATTCGATCCCTCCCCAATCCCCACCCCGACCTCTCCTCCCCCCCTCCCCACCCCCTACGCCCTCCCCAACCCCGCGGCACCCATCCAGAATGAACAAGCCCTTGATAGACGGGCGCCGCGCAGGCCCCCTGCGGACTGGGGCCATCCGACTAGGGGGAGGGGGCGGGTAGGGGTCCAGCGCGGCCTCTGCCCCTCTCCTCACCACCCCACCCCCCTCCCACGACCCTCCCACGAGGTTCCCCGCAGATCCCTGACATGGTGAGGGGAGGGGGCTGCAAGCCCCCTCCCCTCATGGACGGAGCGCCCCCCCCTCGGGGGTAGGGGCAGCAGAGGGGAAATGGGTTTGGGGAAGGAGGGGGAGCTCCCTTCTTTGGCAGCTGAACATGGGGGGGGGACCTGAGGGCAATGCCCTCCCCCCTTTACCCACAGCAGGGGAGGGGGCTTTCGAGGGGGAGGGGTGGCTTAAAATTCCCAAGCCCCGGGAATAAGGGGAGAGAGGAAGCGTGCGGGACAGAACAGCCATGCTGGAGGGAGGGGGAGCTTCTTGGAGAGGACAGGTTAGGAAAGGGGAATCTTCGTGCAAAAGGGATGAACAGATGACCCAGGAAGGACAGGAAGACTGAGAAAAGAGAGGATGGTGGGGAGCTGGAGGCAGGGAGAGGCTGGAGTGTGGAAGCAAGGTGAGCAGGAAGCGAGTGTGCATAGGGTCTTCTCTCACCAGGAAGAGAAAGCGCTTAAGGAGGTAAGAGAATCAGTGAGAACGGCCGCAAGAGCTGCTCATCAACAGGAAAAAAAAAATTAGGGTGTCAGGAAAAGAAATGACAGTTATAGCCGAAGAGCGCGTGGAATGAGTGTGCAAAAGGAAAGAAGTGGCAGAGCTCTCATCCAGGTAGAAAAGACACGAAGGGGTGTGCAGCAGTGCAATGGTGTGCAAGAACATGATGAAGGGGGAGAAGCAAGGCTTCCGGAGACCATTAGTGCTGGAGGGGGCGCGTGTGCCGAAGCAAGTGTGCAAGAGGGTTCAAAAAGAATCAAAAATGCAGAGCGGCAAAGATTTCAAACAGAAAGGGGCAAGGGAGTGGGAGCCTGGCAAAGAAGAAGAGAATGAGCATTTGTGAGAGAAACACAGTTCCTGGGAGGCAAGTGTGCAAAAGGTGTGACCAAAAGTGACGGTGCAGGAGGAGCGAGGGGGAGCGAGGGGGTGGGGGGCTAGGACTGTCATGGTGATGGGGGAGGTGGGAGAGAAAGAATCCGGGGGTTTAAGAAGGGAAAGTGCTTCAACGTAAGAAAATGGAGGTAAGTGTGTGGGACGGGCATAAGACAGCAAGTGTGCAAGGGCTGAGCAAAGAGCAGGGCACTCCAGAGAATGAATGATGTGCATGGAGTCTGTGAGTGGGGAAGGGAAAATGTGTCCCAAGTGTGTCTGCAACAAGGGTCCAGAGCGAGCGGGGGGAGGGGGTCTGGAGCTGTGAAATGGAGTGTGTAAAGGAGGGCCCTGGGAGGGAAGTGTGTAAGCAGCGAGAATCAGAGCAGGAGGCGTGGAGTGTGAGAAAGGAAATGCAGCGCGTGCGAGGGGAAAAGAGTGTTTGAGCGGGCCTCGCCAGCCGGAAGCAAAGGCAGAATGTGCAAGACAGCGAAAGGGCAAATTTGTGCAAAATTGCAGCCCAGGGAGGGGAGAGGCAGGGAGAGAGGTGAGTAGGCGTGCAACGGAGCGTGCAAGAGGCTGAGGCGGGCAGCTGTGTGTGCTGGGGAGAGGGGAAGGGGGGAAGAGCTGAGGGGCTTGGAGAGGGTGGGAAGGGTTGTTAGAGGGGCGGCAGGTGATGGAATCTGAGGGCACCCCCTTCCCCTGCGGCCTGGGGGATGGTCCCCATCCAATCAGGCTCAGGGCTGACCCTCTATGGCTCTGTCTGTCCCCTCCCCCCAGAATAGGCCCTTCCCTCCTTCTCAATCCCCCTCTGTAATTTCTCCTATCCCCCCTCCGCTCCCCGCTTCACACACACACAGTCTGGTGTCAGCTGCCCCCCTCCAGTGAGGTGCAAATGTCCGGCCTGGATTGGGCCACCTGGTGACCTCTGGCCTTGGGAGAAGAGGGCAGGGCACAGTTTGAACAGAGTCCCTGGCCCGGGGAGACAATGACAGTCAGGGGTCAGAGGTCAAGAGGCCAGCAGGCTCAAGAGTTTGTGGACGGGCTGGTCCGTCCAGGCCAGCCATCACCTCTCCAGGAAGAATTTGAGAGCCCGGTCGATGTTCATGCGGTGCCCCACCCTGGTCACACCGAGATCGACGTAGTCCTCCTTGGTCAAGGCGGGCAGGTGGGAGCCATCGATCTCATGGTCCAGGAACTGGGCTCGGTGCTCCGCCAAGCCCAGCCACTCCAGCCAATCGGCCACGTCAAACTTGGTCCAGAACCCCAGAGGTTTAGCGCCAAACGGCTTGTCCGGGGGCAGCGAGAGCAGGCGGGTTGGTGAGAGGGAGCGCGAGGCCCCTGACAAGGCTCCCCCGAGCCCCCCGGACATGCCCGGGTGTGGTGGCACAAATACTGGGGCGAAGGGATCAGCTGAGCCTCCTGCCCCTCCAGTTGGGGAGCCACGGATGTCAAATAGGCCTGGGTAGAGGGGTCCAGAAGGCAGGATGGGCAGGGAAGAGGGCCTGGGCGCCGGGCTGACCTTGTGCTCCGAGGCGGGCAGCAGCGAGGGGCTGGGGGCCCGGCGGAGCAGAGGGGGCCGCATCTCGAACTCCACGCCCTGGAGGTGGCGGGTGGACGTGGAGGAGGAGGAGGCTGAGGGTGAGGTGGCCCCTGGGGCCGCAGCGGCTGTCGGGGAGACCCCTGTTCCAGTGGGGAGCGGCGGCAGAGGTGGTTTAGGCCAGTTCTGAAACAGGCTGCTGACTGGCTTGGAGAGGAGTGAGGACTGCGAGTCGTCGGAGAGTCTGGAATGTTACAAGGGGGTGGGCAGGGGTGGGGAGGACAGGGATTTAGGGGTCAAGGGCAGGGGTGAGATCGAGGCAGAGGTCAAGATATAGGGAGAGAGGAGGAGAGACACAGGGTAGGGGGAGAGATGGAGGAGAGAGACGGGAAGAAACGGAGGGAGCAAAGGGTAAGACGGCCGTCGAGGAAAGAAATGAAGGGAGAGAAAGATGACAGGACAGGGAGAGGGCGACAGTCAAGAGAGATGAAAGAAAAAGAGACATTAAGTGATAATAATAATAATCGTCACCCCTTACTGATGCTCACGTGTGCCAGGCATTGTTCTAAGTGCTTTACATGATTGCATCTCAATTTAATCCCCACGACAACCCTGATGCAGGTTACCATTATTATGAGCACAGAGAGGTTAAGTAACTTGCCTAAGGACACACAGGAAGTGGCAGAGCCCGGTTATATGGCACCAAAGTCTGAGCTCTTCACCACTACTCTATACTGCCTTTCAGGTTATGGCCAGTCATAGCAGAGTGAAAGACGGGAAGACAGTGAGAGAGAGACAAAAAAGAGGGTTAGCATCCAGGGGAGAGAGATGGAAGGGGACAGGGGACACAGAGAGAGAGAGAGATGAAGAAAGGGAGATGAAAGAGAGAAGAAACAAGGGGAGAAAAAGGTTCCCCTCATCCCTTTCGTTCCCTCCAGCACTGTCCCACCTCAGGCCCTTAGAACTGGCCGCTCCCCATGCCTGGCTCACTCCTGCCCCAGGCAGCCCTGGGATTCACTCCCTCCCCACTTCCATTATTCTGCCCAGCTTGCCTGTTAGTGAGAGACCTTCTCCAATGATCCCATTTTGGGGATGGTTACAACTATTTTATTTTACTGCCCAGGCCCCCACTCCTACGCCCCTAGACTATGAGCCCTTCCGGTCGCACAGTCCTTGCCTGTCCTGTCCAGCAGCGAATCTCATCACCCAGAAGGGCCCCCTGCACACAGCAGGTCACGAATCAATCATTGATGCAACTGTTGACTGAATTAAGCATCCTTCCTATTGCTGCTGTAAGCAGTGGGGGTCGTGGTGGGGGGGCCGGGGGAAGAAAAAAATCCTCTCCTTTACTCAGAATACTTAAGAATAGTCAATGAATTGCACTTAGATCTTAAAGGCCTAATAAACACACATTTGTTTATTTTTTTATTTATATTTTTTATTTTTTGAGACGGAGTTTCGCTCTTGTTACCCAGACTGGAGTGCAATGGCATGATCTCGGCTCACCGCAACCTCCGCCTCCTGGGTTCAGACAATTCTCCTGCCTCAGCCTCTCGAGTAGCTGGGACTACAGGCACACGCCACCATGCCCAGCTAATTTTTATATTTTTAGTAGAGACGGGGTTTCACCTTGTTGACCAGATGGTCTCGATCTCTTGACCTCATGATCCACCCGCCTCGGCCTCCCAAAGTGCTGGGATTATAGGCATGAGCCACCACACCCGGCCACATTTGTTTATTTTTATACAACCTAGGAGCATTGATTCAAGTTGCTCTGATAATAGACACTCACTTTTTCTTTTCTTTCTTTCTTTGATTTTCTTTATGACAGGGTCTCACTTTGTTGCCCAGGCTGGAGTGCCTTGGTGTGATATCAGCTCATTGCAGCCTCAAC